TGATAACTTAAGATCCAGACGTCCGATGACTAAAATCCTTCATCCGGTTCAAATCTAGAGTTAAAAAGCACCAAGATCTAAACAGTGGATGGTAACAATGTGGCTTCAGACTGGATCAACAGTCAATGTATGACAGCTTCTGGCAGACAACCACAACGCTGACGCAGGCACAAAGGGGATATGACGCCATCGACAGGCAACCGGTGAAACGCAGCGTTACCTGAATAAAATGACAGATTTCTCTGAGTTTGAACATTGTTGGAAACATTTGGGATAATGGAAGAACTCAACTACATATAGAACATAGAGCCAGAGCTTATACACTGTTTGATGAGGACGTGTTACAGGTTAGAGGTTAAACGGCTCACTATCAGTAGATTTAGTGTTTTAAATCAAATATCTACTTTCACTAAAGTCCTGTTGTTGGTCTTTTTGTTTTCAGACCACAAACAAACCACCAGAGTTATTTGAACAGCAGTCTGGTTGTTTGTTCCACTCCAGAGTTCAATGAACAGCTTTTACACCCAGAGCCCAAACCAACCACAATAAACAGTTTGAACTGAAACCAAAAGCCCCCGTGTACCGCTCTGATATCGAAGCCTGGCGAGCATTGACCCTGTTTTTAGCTTTATGGTGCCTTTTTGATTATTTTTGGGATAAAACACAAAGTAACCTGGTTAATCATCTGCTTGTGTGGATGATTATAATATTCTGGTCACAGTCTGCTCTCCACAGACTGTCTGTTTCTCATTTCCTCCGCCAACATGCCCACGAGGGAGCATCCTGGATGGGCTGCCAGCGGAGCCGCGGTTGGGCAACATAAATGGACTCGGAAAGAGACAGAGAGGGAGAGGAAATGTAGAACGATGTGGGAAAGCATAGATTACCCCACATAGTAACCAGCTTACAAACCCTTCACAATAAAAGTCCACGTGAGATGAAAAATGCCATTTTTACCCTTTAAGATCCTCAGTTATATTGTTCCCATATTTAACAATTTATGACCAAAAACATTCACAAAAACTACATTTCTTTGTGTTTTTATATCAAAATCCAACCGTTTCTTCTTCTTCCTGTAACATCAGCATGAACTAACCAATTTCAGCCAATAACAGTAATGTCAGATGCCATTAGCTAGTTATCATTAACATTAAATGGTAAAGGTTTATTACATTAACACACAAGTTGTAGGCTGATTGTGATCAGATGAGGCTCTTACTGACACTTGTAGGTCTCTACTACTTGTGGTCTATTAATTGGACCCAGTAATCAGAGATCAGGGTCTTTCGGGGCCTGGAGATTATTGCACCGCCACATGGGGCTGACTTGTAGCTCTCCTAGGCCTCATTAACAGCCCGCATGGGACCCATCTGGAGGCAGATTGTTGTGCCAGCCCATCACTAACCCATGTGGGGTCGACATGGACGTGTTGGTCAGCAGTCTGATGAACACTTTTACTCTCATGAGCTGAAATAAAAGATCTATGACTCTTTTTATGAACACAAAGAGGATTATTTCTCTCACATTCTGAGCATAAATTAGTTAAAATCCCTTCTCCTTTGCCAGGATAATCCATCCCCCTGACAGGTATGGCAGGGTGCTGATTACACAGCATGACTGTGACACAGGTGTGCAGTTTTATCTTCAAAAATGGCAATTATTAAGCACCGAATTATGGATTTCACACGGCTCGGACTGCAGATAGGAACAAACAGGGAGTTATTGAGCTTTTTTTTTGGTATAAGAGAGATAGAAAAACATAAATACATCAGTATTTAAATTAAATTAAATTAAATTAAAGGAAGGGAAGAAGCTTATTGTCGAGTTAAACGACCAAATTATCTTTACACACATATACAGAAGGAGTGTTTCTGTGCCTCTTCTCTCTTCTCTGATCGCTTTACGTCAGTTTCCAGAGTCACAGTTAAATTTTCATTCATACATTATCAATAATTCAATCTTTTCAGCCTGATAGTTTGAACCAGGACCTTTTGGTATTTAGATTAAGTAGTTCATGAAAAATACGGGCTTGTGCTACAGCTGCTGTTTCTGTGCCAGATACATATTTAATCAACACGTCCTGAATAAAAGAAAACAACAAATAAGGTAATTAATGTCCGTATAAGACGTAGTAAAGAACAAATACGTACAGGTGTTACTGGTTTCCATTATTAGCATGTAGCTTGTTGTTCTCTCACTGAAACTGAAACCAGACTGGAAAAAAGGAGGATGCAGTAATCACCCAGGGGGGAGGACGGGATGAGGTTCGGCGTCTATCGAGGACTCTCAGTGAGTCTGGGAGGAGATCCTGAGTCAGACCCTGAACACCTGCAGGGATTATATTTCCCATCTGGCCTGGGGAAGCCTCGGGATCCCCCAGGAGCAGCTGGAGGAAGTTGCCATGGAGCAGTGTTAATTCCTGGTTTCGACTGGGATAAGGGCTGTGACATTAATGCAGAGGGGGGTCAAAGGGTACAGATGACGCCGACCCAAGGCCCGGTGGGGATCCGTGCAAAGATTTATGGTTGACCTTTAAATGGGACAACAGTTTACTTAATGGCTTGTCACTGATAATACAGTTTATATGTATTGACACGATAAATTTATTGTTACCATTAAAACACAAAGGCCTCACCAAACCTCTCGATACAGAAAAGCCAGAGCCAAGCACCAGGAGGGGGGGGGGGGTGTAACGTTCACGTAGCTGGATTTAAACACAACACTGCTGTACTGCCTTCACACGCCTGTTATAATGCAACCTGCCGGAGGTTTAGGGACTTGAAATTGCCCGTGTTGGTGTTAGAGTGGGTGTAGATGAGAGGGTCCAATTTGGAAAAGTTTGTTACCCAAATCCATAACTCGCCGGCCCAGAGTCTGAGTCCTGGTCGGAGCCGCTGTGAATCACCTGTATGTCCTCGTCCAAACAAACTAATTCCACCAGATTAGCTCGGGTTAACCAGTTCTTGGATGATTCTTGGAGCCTCGGTGCCGTCCAGCCTGTGTTTACACCACTTTTGTAATCAAGGAGAAAGGGCGCTGCACAAAGACCCACAAACTTTGGTTCCCAATGAAAACCTGATATTTATTGGACCCAGCTGGGAACTTCAGGTTCAGAACCAATCTTTTTTTGGTCAAAGTACTCCGAATGGAACGGGGTATTTGGGTTCGCTGTTGATGGAAAATCCCAGTGAGTGATTAAATTAGCAAAATAAAACGACGCAAGAAATCTCCCCCAAAAAACAAAACAGTCGCAGATATATTCGTCCAATCACCAACCTTAAAATGTCCCATTTGATTGTTGTTGGTTTGTGTAATTTAATGTCCTGTAAGTATGTAAAGCTGCTAACGGAGGAGGTTGGCCAAACAGCTCACACACTCGCCATGTGTGACCCACGTTGTTGACGGGGTCGTTGCATGTTGTTACCCATAATTCCACTTTCATCTGTTTGAGTGACGAGTATCGCTGTCACTGTGTGTAACTGGAGCTGCAGACAGCAGGCAGAGATCAACCTGGATCAGGTGTTTACATACCGCAGTGTCCTTGTTCCTGTCGGAGTAAACTCACATAGTTTCTGAAAACCTCCCCTCAGGGTGCTCGCCTCCCTCCCTCTCTCCCTCCCTCCCTCCCTCTCTCGCTCACACCTCAGCTCCTTAAAGGGCTGATCTTACTTTTTTATTGGCACCAATTATATTGATTCTGAACACAGAGTAGAAACAAGAGCAGGTTTAACAGCTGTTTCATTTGGAGCCGGTTCTTGAGTCCGGTCCCCGACGGCAAGACAAACACGTGATGTCTGATCACTGCTGCTCCAACAGACAGTCAGAACTAGTTTCTTTAGTTTAAAATGAGCAGTAGATAAAAAGGAACCGGTGCTGATATAGTGTAGGCTCACTTAAAGAAGACATTGTGACACTTTAATTCGATATGTTAAAGTTTATATGTTCACTGCTCAGACCAAAACAATGGCCGCCACCAGACTCCATTCATAAAACAGCGAATTTTACCCGGCAGAAATCTTCCTCCTCTACTCCTTATATATTATTGTTTCCTCTTCCTTTTCATCCTCTTCTCCAAGTTTCCTCCCCCTCTTTCTCCCCTCCTTTCCTTGTTTCCTTTCATCCTCCTCTCCTGTTTCATCTTCTCCTCCTACTTTTTCCTCGACGAATATGTTCCTTTACTTTCCTTTCATCATCCTCATCTCCTCCTCTCCTCTTCTTCCTCGTCTCTCCCCTCCTCTCCTAGTTTCCTCTCCTTTTCTTTCATCCTTTCCTCACCTCATTTCCTCCTCTTCTCCTCCTACTTTCCTTTCCTTTCATCATCCTCACCTCCTCTCTTTGTCTTTGTATATTTTTCTCCTTTCCTTGTTTCCTCTTCTCCTCCTACTTTTTTCTTATTTGATATTTTCCTTTACTTTCCTTTCATCGTCCTCTTCTCCTTGTCTCCTCTCCTCTCCTTTCTTTTCATCATCCTCATCTCTTCGCCTCCTCTCTCTGTATTTTTTTCTCCTCTCCTCTTCCTCCTCGTCTCTCCCCTCCTCTCCTAGTTTCCTCTCCTTTCCTTTCATCCTTTTCTCACCTCGTTTCCTCGGCTCTCTCTCTCCCCCTCAGTGTTCAATTACAGACCACTCTCTGGAATTCACCCACATGCCTGAAGAGCTCCCCTCCCCCTCGCTGGAGTGTGTGTGAACGAAGAGGAGGAGGAGGAGGAGAGGATGGTAGGAAAAGAGAAACAGAAAATATGGATAGAGAAAGAAAGGAAGCAGGGAAGGAAAGAAAGAATAAAGGAAGCAGCGGAACAAAGGAAGGAAGGAATAATAACAAAGGAAGAGAGGATGCAGTAAAGGATGGAAGGAGCTAATGAAGGAAACAAAGCTCTCTGCTGACTCTTCAAGTGAACATTTACAGCGTCCGCACACACACACACACACACACACACACACACACACACAATGGAGTGCTGAGATGGAGGAGTGGTGTGTTAGAGGGCGAGAGCAGCGAGTGTGTGTGTGTGTGTGTGTGTGTGTGTGAGCTGCGAGCCCTGTGATTGGCTGAGCCCGGCTAGATGCACCAACAGCCGAAAGAAGACGGGAACAGAGGAGGAGGAGAGGGAGGCTGCAGATAGAGCAGAGAATACAAAGAGCATGTGAGGGAGAGAGAGAGAGAGAGAGAGAGTGTGTGTGTGTGTTTGTGTGTGTGAACACATGTGTGTGTGACATCCAGAGGTGTGTCTGTGTCGGTGTGAGCGTGTGCAGAAGCGAGGAAGCGAGGAGGAAACCTGATCCCACTCTCTCTCGCTGCCTCTGTGGAATAAGGCTTTTCCGTTAGCTCTCTCGTCGTTATTAGCCTCGCTGTGAGCTCCTAGCTTAGCCCGGCCCGGCTCGGCCCGGCACCGGCTCCCGGTTCGGACCCGGCGTGGTGGTGATGGAGCGGTTCCTGGCCCTGCTGCGCCTGCTGGGCAGGAGGAGGCGAGGGAGGAGGTACCGGGCGGATGACGATTACCAGGAAGGCTACGAAGACGTTTACTACTACACCAGCAAGTACAACACACACCTACTGAGTGAGTGAGTCCCATAGAGAAACACTGAGAGAGAGAGGGGGAGGGAGGGGGAGAGAGAGAGAGAGGGGGAGAGAGAGAGAGGGGGAGAGAGAGAGAGAGGCTTTTGTTTTATTGTCTTGCTGGAGGAGCGAGCGAGGTAGAGAGATACTGTAGAGAGCGAGAGAGGAGCTTATCAACAGATTATGGCACTAGAAGTAGCCCCGAGTGTGTGTGTGTGTGTGTGTGTGTGTGTGTGTGTGTGTGTGTGTGTGTGTGTGTGTGTGTGTGTGTAAGGTCTTTTATTATAGATGAAGGTCGTTAGCGTAGCACTGCTCAGTTACAGCACACACACACACTCACTCAGGTATCCAGGTGACAGGGGGCCAGGTGGTTTATGGGTAATAACAAGGGAGGAAGTGTTGACAGTGGAAAGGAATGTGGGACACACACACACACACACACACACACACACACAGATTCTGGTTCAGTCTTTTGTTCCAGTTCTGTTTCAGATTCTCGTCTTGGGGCTCCGTCTCGGACCTCGTTACTTTTTTTGGGTTCTGAATAAAAAGCGTCTGTAACACCGAGAACCAAAGAACCGTTTTAATCTTCTTCACAGGGTTGTATTTATTAAAGATAAACACATAGAGTCTGCGAGGAACAACAGTGTGTGGAAATCTGCTCCTTCTAAGTTTCCCAGCTGCCGTTCGGTGCTGAGGTCCACTCTGGGAGTCGGTGCACCGGTGGATCACACTGTGGCTGCGTACTGAGCCATCGGTGTGTGAACGGGTGAATGTGAACGTGTGAGTGCAGAGCAGCTTGGTAAAGTTTAAGATGAGGACACACACATTCGGGCTGGTTCAGTTCTGCTCTGGTCCGGGTCCGTTGGTGTCTCACATGTGAAGAGTCTTCAGTCCTGCACGTCTCTACATCCTGGATCTACTTTTTCTGTCCTCTGCTCAGATGTTGCTGCTTATAAACAGTGTGAACTGAGAACATGTGACAGTTTGTGTTTGAAGGGAACTGTTTTCTATCATTGATTAACTGATTGAGTGATATATTTCATATTATATTCAATAATAACAATAACAGTGAAGAGCAGCTGATAAACAGTGAACTCAATAACTGCAGTGAGTTTGTGTAAAACAGAGATTTGGATGAATTCTGAGCAGATTATTTCCTGTGAATCAGAGATGAGTATTTTTAGAACGTTTTTCTAAAGTTCTCTCTCTGTGTTATATATATATTTTTTATAATTTTTCAACAATCAAACAGACTTAAAAGGCTTCTTTTTTGTGTTTTGTTCTCATTGTTCTGGTAGCTCTGTGGTTGTTTTAACTGCGTATCTATCAGAGAGTGAACGCTGTGAATATATAGTTTGTGTTCAGATCTTAAATCATCTGAAAAAATTATTTTATTTCGTTTTCCTCACAGAAATATACGAAATGCTGAGATGTGTATACATTTTTAGTTTTTCTAGCCCCCCGTAAAACCAAGTAACCAGTAAAGAGCTGATAGAAGATGAGGGATTAACAGAAGAACCAGAGGAGCTGTGATTACATCGTCAGCATCATAAACCTCCAAAGCCACCAGGACACTGCAGGTTAATTAAAACCGGGTTCCCAAACCTTTTCATGCCACAGACTGCGGATTTCACTTCTTAATTACATCTAGGTTTGAAGAAATGTGATAAAAGTTAAAGTATTAGATTCCTCCTGTTGCTGGACCCACTCAAGGACCCCCGCTGGTCCCCGGACCCCAGTTTGTCGTTTATGTAGCCCTAAAAACTGAAATACCCATGAGCCTCAGTTGCTCCTGCTGTGGAAAAAGATCCAGACTCCGCCGCTCTGTTGATGCAATTTGGCGCCAAACTCTGCAACACGGCCGCCAAACTCAAACACTAACATTTAGCCAAATTGAACAGAATCTGAATGGAAGTTTTCCTGCACAGCTCGGCCCGCCGTTAGCCGCGCTCTCAGATCAGATGTTTGTTTCCTCGACACGCTGCGTCTCGTACCGCCGACTGGGCTCATTGAGTCTCTACGCATACTTCCTGCCTTTTCTGAACAAAACACACAAAAAAAATCACAAACAAGTAGAATTGTTTCCAAAGTCAAAAGAAATACTTAAATTCTTTATTACAAATATGGTATAATCTAAAAAATACGCTTCTTTTATCCTCCCAAAACTCAAAGATATTCCATTTACAAAGACATCAAACAGAGAATATCTGGAGTTGTTGCTTAAGAGAAAACTCTCTGATCTCCTCACGAGTGTGTTCACATTGTGTATTCCTCTCAGCTGAAGCCTCAGTTGCCCTCAGTTACGCATCCTGAGCGATAAACGAGATTCATTTTAATTTTTGTGGGTGAACTCTCGACTCACCCGTCTCCCTCCAGAGGAATCTCCAGCGGGAACTCGAACTCGCCGTCCACTGAACTGTTTGCGCTGATTAAAGTGTGTGTGAGCGCTTCCAGCTGCGAGCAGACGATAACGGATTCACTTTGGTATCCGTCCTCGTTGTCTCAGACCAATAACTGCAGTTAGCTCGTGTTTGTGGAGAAAGGAGGTTGTTCTGCTGCGCCGAAAGTCTCACAAATACTCAAATATTGTAAATTCAATTCAATTTTATTTGTATAGCGCCAATTCATAACAGAAGTTATCTCAGGACACTTTTCAAATAGAGCAGGTCTAGACCGAACTCTTTAACATTAAATCTAAACACCTGTGAATCCTCTTTTTGTGTACATTTCACATTAGTTATTTAAAGCTGTGTGTGTGTGTGTGTGTGTGTGTGTGTGTGTGTGTGTGTGTTGTGTGTGTGGGTGCTAATAACTCACTGAGCTTTGTAAGAAATGGCTGTGTGTTGCAGAGCTGCCAGGAGACATTTCTCGCAGCTACCAGCTAGCTGTCTCTGTGTGTGTGTGTGTGTGTGTGTGTGTGTTTTTGTTTTTTTTTTGGTGTGTGTGTGTGTGTGTGTGTGTGTGTGTGTGTGTGTGTGTGTGTGTGTGTGTGTGTGTGTGTGTGTGTGTTTAGCACAGCGTGTGATTCTATATGAAGGCTATTTAAGGCTGGTTGACTGGCTAACCCGGAGACACACACACACACTCGTTGATCTTGTGTGTGTGTTTCTCTTTAGCCTGTTTCGGCCTCTTTAACCCGGGTTGGTTGCGAGTAAATTAAGATTTGTTTTAAATATCAGTGCTCGTCTGTAACGTTGTCGGACTCGTGATGGACAGTTCAAAGGATTAAAATCGATGTCTTTTTTTATTCCACATATTTTTCTTCCATGTCAAAAAATAAAACTCCTCAGCGGTGCTTTAAAAACAAAAAAACACTTGATTTGCCAAAAAAGAGCCAAAATAAATACGTAAAGGTTATATATGTTATAACATTATATTCTCTATATAAAGACAGTCACATGGTGTCTCTCTCCCTCTGCCTGTGTTGTATCGCAGCCTCTCTGTGGTTTGTTTCCATAGCCGGTCTGCTCCGACTGAAACTGCTGTTTTTATCATCTACGTCGGTGAATTAAGGATTTATTTCCACCAAACCAGAGTTGGTGATTGTTGGAAACACTAACAGAGACGCTTTTAATGAGTTTTATTTAATATCTGTCCCATTGTTCTGGTCCGAGATGCTGCTGCTGCTCTCGTGCAACATCCAGTGTGGAGTGAATTTTGTATTTATAACCTTTTTAAAGATTCATTTTCAATCTCTCATCGCACCCTCTTGCCTCTTTGATTGAGCGTTAAGCCCCCAGTCATACTCAAGTTATTTTAGTTTTCACGCCCTTCATCGGTGATGTCACCTGTATGTCACCTTTAGGCAGCTGCCTCTCTGCCCGCCCGCCATATTCCCCCCGTACGCTCGATGATCTCAGTACATGTCGAATGGTTCTGATGCATAAATCTGCACATGAATGAGGTGAAATGATGTTATGCAGAGTTCAGACTGGAGCGGTTTCGCAGCAGTCATGTGTTGTGTGCAGCTTGTTGACTTTTTTTTTGCTAATTAAAGCTTTAAATAAGAACTTCATTAGCATAACTGGTCCTGTGTTCAACATGATGGAGATTAAAGAGGAAGACGGGCAGCTGAGAGGAAGTTTGTGTTTGTGTTCAATCTGATCAGCTGATTCTGGTAGAAATTGATGAAGTAAAGAAAACAGGTTTTTTTCCTGTCATCCCCCCCTTTTTTCCCTCCTTTTTCTGTCTTTTTACCTCCTTTCTGTCCTTTTCTGTCCCTTTTCTGTCCCTTTTCCTCCTTTTTCTGTCTTTTTACCTCCTTTCTGTCCTTTTCTGTCCCTTTTCCCTCCTTTTTCTGTCTTTTTACCTCCTTTCTGTCCTTTTCTGTCCCTTTTCCGTCCTTTTTCTGTCTTTTTACCTCCTTTCTGTCCTTTTCTGTCCTTTTCCTTTTTCTGTCTTTTTACCTCCTTTCTGTCCTTTTCTGTCCTTTTTCTGTCCTTTTTCCCTCATTCTTCTGTCTTTTTACCTCCTTTCTGTCCTTTTCTGTCCCTTTTCCCTCCTTTTTCTGTCTTTTTACCTCCTTTCTGTCCTTTTCTGTCCCTTTTCCCTCCATTTTCTGTCCATTTTCCCTCCTTTTTCTATCCATTTTCCCCTCCTTTTTCTGTCCTTTAATAGCAAAAAGCATCTTTATTTACCTGTGTTTTCTGGCGGCGGTCGGCGGTCCCGTCATGAACCAGACGCTGACCAAACACCTACCTGTTTTTTAATAGCCAGAATGTGTGAATGTGTCAGACTCCTCTCGACTCCGCCGGCATTCAGACGTTTTCCACTTTTCCATTTGCTGGGATTCGATTTGTGCTGGTCTGGAGGCGGAGGAGTTATCTTCAGAGTGAAATGAACACACACGCAGCCAGAGAGGAAAAAGTAGAGCAAGTTCACCTTAATTAATCTGTAGGCGTCTCGGGATTTGGAGCACTTTCCCTTATTATTTGGATATGATGTTTAATTAGTTCTCCTAAATTAAAGAACAACTGCTTCCTTTTTTTTCCTCCACTA